GCGATGGAACGGAGAGAGTGAGACTGCGTCTCTCAAGCGACATGTGTGCGAGTCAAAAGTACGTACACGATAAATGCGACCTCGTAGTCGTTGGGATCTTAGAGAAAGATCAACTGGTGCCGATTTCTTTCTCCTGGCCGTGCTCTCCGCGTGCAGACTCAAGCAAGAGATCAAATTCAAGTTGCTCGCGTTTGTGTGGAAGCGCATGTTTGGGTTGGGACGGAAAAAGCCGACGACCGCGAGGCCCACGCCGGACACCAGAGAGAACTACCTCGTGGTGGCCGGCTTTGGGGTTGTCGAGCCCATGTACGGCGACGACAGGATTCCAACCTATGTCGGGTGTTGGTCGGCAATCACACCAAGCGTATTGGCCTCCATGATCGCTGTGCCCCCACTGTGTTTCGTCTGTTGGGTGAGGAAGGAGACCAAATACAAAGGTCCCTACCCGTTGACGAGCTCTGAGAGGCAAGTCTGGGTGCGCAACTCTGTCGGGTGCTTCTACGGTAGCTGCAGCTAGTGCATATTCGGCGGCGCGGGGCTCGGCTACCGTTGCGCCGACCAGCAAGGAGGACGCCTGTTCAACTGGCTCGCTGGCTGCTCGATCCAGAACGTTTTGTGGACCGGTACAAGCACTTGTGGGGTGCACCATTCAAACAATCCGCGGATGGACCGCCAGGAATGGGTGGTGGTAGGCTAATCTTACCTGTCGATGCAGAGAGGTGCACACGGAACGACGCGCGCCTTGCGGATATTTCCTCTCCAATGCCCCCCGTTGTTCAAGGGCGGGAAGGACATACCAGTGAAGGAAGGACGGAACCCACGGCTGAAACGTGGATTGTCGGTATCATTGCCGTTTACGATAAAGGAATTATTGAGGCAGATGATAAGTAGGGACGGCGATGGAATATATGAATCAGGGGCGCGAGCGCATCCGGCGTGTCCTACACGTTCCCCGGTCTTTGTTCATGCATATGCATAGTAGGGCGCAAAAGGCGGAGTTAGTTGCACCCACAACATCATAGCCTGCACAGAGGAAGTGATAGGAGTTCTCGTCGGTGTACAGCACCATACGCATGAGTGCTATTGAAGTGCACACAGCCTGCAGTGGCGCGCGTCATAGTTTGTGTCTTATGCTCAGTGGTTCCTGCGGTGGACTATGGGGTTTGCTTTCCTGCAGGGCATACCGGCACAGGTGGGGTGAGATCTGCCGTTCTTTGGCACTGCTTTCTGCCTCCTTGGACCCATGGATCAGCGGGGCTGGTTTGACGAGCAACGCGGCTGCCCTGTGACAGTGGGCGATGTTCTTGGTTATCTTGTACATAACGTTTCCAACCCACGTCATCTCTAATAGTGTGGCTGCAGAGCGAGGCTGAATTGTGTACGGTACGGTCTTTCTCCATTCCCAAATTGGTGCGGAACGGAGAAGAGTTTGTGTTTTAATTGCCAGTTGAAGGTCCGCAGTGTCTTGCCATGCGAGCACGCATGAGTTTGTTTTAGCGCTAGGAATAAACGGTGTGGGTGAGGAGATTTTTTATATGCTGTCGTCTGGGTTGTCACCTCTCCGTGCTCTATCAAACTTGTTATTGTTGTGACCTAGATCAACCAACTCGCCGGACGCAGAGGGGTTTTTGAAGGGGATTAAAGATGGTTTGTTTTAGGAGGGTTCCCCTGTGGCGTAGATCGACATCACCGTCGGCCGTCGTCTAAATATGATAGATTATCAACTTTCCAGATGTGTCTACTTTAGTCTGTGTTGTGGCCAAAAAAAATCGATAAGCTGGCATACCGTGGGGTCATCGAGGACGATATTGTAGCCCGAAACCCGAGCTGTTTTACCCCTTGTCTATATTCAATTCCTCCTGAGTAACCTGCTAGATTTTTGACCTCGTTGAAGGCTCTCTTCTTATTATTTCCCCCCATGGTAGGTTTAGAAGAACAAAATATCGATGCCCTTTGGCCTGTCTGGGCTTGACTGTGCGGAGAACAATCTGTAGTCTGGGAACCTCGGGAGTAGGTTGGGACGTTGTGGGAGCACCACTTTTCGCGAAGTCGCCGCATATTTGAGATCGCGTTATTGTTCGAGGCCACGTAACGGGCTCCGCTCAGCTGGATGTGTAGTTGAGATTCCTTTGTGCGACATAGTTTTGCGCGGGTGCGTGCACAGCTAAACCAGCGAAGTTTCGTATTTTTGTGTCAAGCGGCCGACCGGTTCTCCACTGGGCGTATAACGGGGGCTTGTCTATGACCCAAAAGCAAGGCTGTCTACGCAACGTGCCGTGAATGTCGACATGCCGGAACGCCTTTAGCGACTTGAGGGATGCTTCGATCAAGCCTCGGCTCCGTTTGGTCCGCAACGCAAACAGAAAAATGCGCCTTCAATGGCTTGCCGGGGTGAAGGAATCTGCCTCTACAGCCATCTGTTTGGTGCAGGGCCATCGCACGACAGCGTGCCAGCTAACGCTAACTCTTTTGAAATTCCAACACGGCAGTAGAAACCACATCGTTCCGCGTACAGTGATCCCAAATGCACAATAAATTCCAAGCAATTTACCGTCAACCCCGGCGGATTGAAATTCACCCTGCAACAGGGCAAATTGGACAAGTCAGGCCACCTCCAATCATCGGTGCAGTGGCGGCGGCGGCGACGGCGGCGGCGGTACATGCATGCGTGTGAACGTGTTCACATAGGCGTAACGTGAAAAAATCACGAACAGCCTTCGATACCAAACAAACTGGCTGTGGTGCGCTGCCATCGCCGCCCAGGCTATCCTTGCGCTGCAGCTAGAGAAAAACGCCCCGAGGGGCGGCCTGTAAGATGTCGCCAGCGACCAAGGCATGTCAAGCATACCCGAGTACTTGCGCAGCATGCCCGTGGTCACCAGCGCGAATGCATCTAAAGCACTGATGCTGCTGCTACCACTACCGCCTGCGATACTAGCTGTGTGTCTGGTCACAGCTCGTGTCCGGAGAAACAATGCAACGCCACGGTTGACGGCGGTGTGGTCGGAGTGCCCGGAAATGCCCCCCTCGTCGAACGTCAAAATCTGAAATGTGCAATAAAAAAAACGGGAACGCACGGGAACCAGTTTTGGGGCAGTTGAGCCGACTTGAGTTCGTGGGAGCGGACGTGGTCATTATCGTTGTATGTCAACACTTGTACGCACACTGTCCAATCTTGAGCATGAAACCTTGTGTAACTTTGACAAGGGATGCGTTTTTGTACGACGGGCACACGTCGCCGAATAGCAGCGGTCAACAGACCTAGAGCCAGCGCAAGCGGGAAATATGTGTTGAGCTCCCCTCATTCACTTGGGACGTCAGGCGAGGCGACCACACGGCCAGCGAGGAACAACAACGAGCTTGGTGGTGACAAGAGGGCACGCAGGGGCGTGTCGACGACGCGAAAATCCGCACGGTTATTTTCTATATTTCCGCGGTTACCACGAAGGAAAACGTCGCCACCGAATGGTCCTTTCCAAAGTGTCGATACGGCAAATCTATCAACCCTCTCATCACAAGCCTTGTATAGGTGCACCAAGAAATGCGCTTCTCTCACAGTTTGGATTCCAAACTTCTGCACGAAGTCGTGCACGTGAGAGGACACCACGTCTGCAGGCCAGGCCTCCGTGCTGCCATCCTGGAGCTTGGGGTGTTCGATGATCACGACGTCGTCCTTCAACACGCGAGACAAGGAGAGGGAGAAGACAAACCGTTGAGCCGCACATGTGGCAGGATTAAGCGTCGCAGATAAATACGTTTCGGGATTGCTTGATAGACGACACGACACGTTGTCGCGTCTTTTGGTAAATGCCCTCAGAAAGCCCACCTGTTCCTTGAATCGCCGACACGCCGGCACAGTTACGCTGACACGAGAGAGACCCGAAAACCGTTGTACACAAATCGTTCGCCTCCCTTCTTCGAGAGCGCGGAACGCAGCAGCTTCCTGCTCATTTCGAGTAAGTCGAAAGGTAAGGTATCCGCCCCTGCGCTCACCTCCTCTACACCGAGTACGCCGCACGCTTTCACGAGCTCGCGCTTGCGCGTTTGACCAAGCCCGTAGAAATCACCTGATGATGGCGTCGGGAGAAAGACGAGGCATCGGCCGCAAGCGAAGAGAGTCCCTTGGGGTGAGCAGCGCCATGGATGTGCTTAGGAAGTTTTACTTGCAGACCTATGAATCAGGTCTAGGTGGCGATATGTTCAACACGCAAACAGGTGGGCGCGTCAGACAGAAGCATCTCATAAACGTGTCTCAGACTACTTTTTGATTTCTACTTTTCACGGTAGTACATGGAGCACACCGCCAATCCTCGTCAGATCAACAACGTTTCATGTTGAAAGTAACATTCTGCACAGCACATCATTCTGCAGACCACATCACAAGTCATTAAGCAATTCTAGGAATTTGGGTACCACAGGGTTTTGAACAACATCTAGGGGATACTACAGATGCCAGAGAGGAACCCCCGGTGTAACAACAGAGGCCTTGCTTACCCGAGGACAAGCACAGCACCGCCGCCCGCTGCCCGCGACGCTCCAAAGTCGTTAGCGTCGGAGCGAAGAACATGCTCTCGTCGTCTGGATGCGCGATCACCACCCCGACGGGTCCTCGTAACGCGTACGATGGAGTAGCAGCCATAGCTCACCGAAAGGCTTGTGTTGCCTTTGGGATGTTCGGGTCTGATCTACGAGATTTTCGGAGATCTGCCTTTTGGATCGTCCTTGTTCACACAGCAGCAGCACGTGCCCACGCCAAGCGTGGATGAAAGATTGGCGATGGAAAACGATACGAATCCAGAGGGAGGAGATACTGCAGGTGTCCAGTGGACGGGAGTCCTTGCTCGATGAGAGCAGCGAGACAGTGTAAGACCAAAAACAGTCGCGGTGCGGCGAGATTACGTTCAGCGGGAGTTGCACCCATAGTTCGCGCGGCGTTTATAATCTGGGGCTGATCCCAGAGGGCGATTGCGCGTCTGGCGCAGGACAGAGCCAGCGGAGAGTTGCGACTGCGGACACAGCACAGAGGAGGACAGATGGACCTCAATTATGCGAAATGGGATCGGTTCGGGGAAGAAGTAAGTGCATGGATCAATTGCAGTGGGAATAACCAAGTGATTGTAGAGCCTCTGATAGTGTTGTAGAGAACCCGGAGTCGTGTGTGGAGAGCTTACGGAGCTATCCCCCCTCGCATCACATGCGAGCAAGCATCGCAAAGCGCTCTCCTTCAGTGATTGCGGGACGCGGCTGGGCCGTGGTCTCATTTAAAATGGTCAGCATGAAGATAAAAGTGGCGGCCTTCTCTGAAATCGCGCAACACGTGCTCCCTTGCCTAGCCTAGTGTAGCTCATGTCGATTGTTTGCAAGCCGACTTGATTTTTCGAAAGGAGTCGTGGTGGAGGTTGAGTTGATCCTCCCCCAAGCGCGATCCGTGTTGCATCTTGGGGCATGTTCCGGCGAGCTAGACCGTCTGAAGGGCACATCCTGTGCTGTTCAAGGGGAGAGGCGGCACCTCCGACGCCACAGTCCGGCGCGCGACGTCCATGTTCTGGTGCAAGAACGCCAGTCAAAGATCCGCCTCTTTATGATTGATGTTCTCTTCTTACGCAAGAGAGGAGAGAGTGCGAGAGAAGTGAGATTCGGTGATTTACTACCGCACTTCACTTGTTGTGCAGTTATGCATAGAACTCATATTTCTCTGTTGGGCCCCGGTGCGAGAACAGGCTGTTGGGCGTGAGCTGCTTGACTGCAATAAATATTTCCTGCTGCTTTTACGCATGAAACCAGGACCACCGCGCTTTCCGCGTTCCCCGATTAGCCGCCATTTTTAATTTTTGAATTTTTGTGATCCGCTGCTGCATGCACGAGCAGTATCTTGCACTCCGCGGATCGTATCCTGTCCGTCAAAGGGAAGCGAATTACGGCCGCTGCAGCACCGACTGAGTTATCCGGCCGACCGATGACGGCCCAACGCAGTAGTCGTCTCTGAGTCTCGAAGCGCGACGCGCGCGCGCGCGCGGGGAGGGGGGGGGGGGGGGGGGGGGGGTACTCATAGTCGTGCATGCCGTAGTCGTTAGACCATTGACCTCGCATCCCTACAAAGCCGGGACGGAGCACGCCGGGTTCTCACCGGACCAGGCT